AAGACATGAGTAGAGCAATTAGCATCTGCCTACAGGGCTCACACACAAAAAAAACCAATCAGGAGTTACTGAAAGGCAGGTGAAGGTCCTAGCAAAGTGGATGGGGGAAGGAATGAGAGATTTACAGGTATTTCTACTCTTATAATCAAGGTTGTAGGCTTTTTAAATGTAAGAAATCATTTAGAATGTAGGGAAAAGGGATATGAGGATGCCTATAGTAGATGCATTTCCCACTCTTTTCAGGCTTCTTTCTCTTGTTCTGGTTTTTTTTTTTTTTTTAATTCGATCCAATTCAGAAAACCCTGTTTCTTCTTTAAACTTGTTTAATGCTCACTCCCTTTTTTTTTAAAGATACAACAGGATAGCCTCAAAAGCTTTGCTTTTATTAACTACAGTTTAAGAAACCAGGTCTGAAGCCAGGATTTGATCTTGGCTAGTTCTTGCTATTTATAATTAAAGATGCCATGGTTGGAGTTGCAATGCCTTATAATTCATATAGTGTTATGGTTAACATAGAATCAAATAGTTAAAGATTCTTTCCCCTTTTGAAATATGTATTGGGAACAGGTGAGCCTGGGGCATATTCTGGTTGTTTAGGATAGCATTGGAGCTGTTATTTCTGAAATCAGACTGATTGTAAAGGAAATAAGCTTCCACAGCATTTCAAAAGATGGACAGCATTCTAAATGATTTTGAGAGGTTTCCAAAGAGTACTTTTATTAACTCACTGCCTCATCTCAGGCTGGGTTCATACAACATGCCGAATCAAAGCCAAAAAACATGGTGTATCAACATGATGTGGGAACCCATTCATTGTGGTTTCTAAATGGTGGTTGAATAGTCAATTGTGATTTATATAATAAACCATGATTGAGGAACATGTATTTTAGCCCACACATAATTTCAGTCACTTAAATATCTAGAAAAGGATTTTTCCTTCTCTTCATTAGAAATCTGATATAAAATTTAATGAATTTCTCTCACATCTTTCTCCATTCTGGCAAGTTTTATCCTATCTAATTGCTGACAACTAAATATAATAAAAATAGAACTTTTAAAAAGTATGGGTAGTGTCCTTATCCTCATTCTTCTGCATTAATCATAATGTCCAATGATCTTTTGGACAAATAAATACTGCCAAGCCCACAAGCTCTCACACTTCAAATTTCAGTTAACAACTTGGTCAAGTCAAAACTGTTAGTCTAAATCTCTGATCCATCCATTTTCAAAGTGATTCATTTCATTTTTGGACACACGTGACCTTTTTTCTTTTCCAGTCAGAAAATGAATGCTGATGTGCTTGTCAAAAGGCATTAGCACATTAGAATGAAGCATAAGTAAAAGAGGTGAGGAAAAAACGAATGAAAAATCTTGCTCGCTCAAATGAAGTGTCTTTGCTCAAATTATTCCAGTTTTTGAGCTGGCAATAATACATGGAATCATTAATGAATCAATTTCTGTGTTTGCACATGTTATGGCTATTTTTGCATGAAGACTATTTTAGCCTAAGAAAAATATTAACCACTTCTCAATAGTGAATAATCTCCAAGGATTGCTAGCATCCCAGAATTCCCTGCCCAAATACATAAAAGACAACCTGGCAAACAAGTGCATAGAACTGATCTGGCTTTGGAGGAGAGAAAATCTATTTAGTGCAATTTTAGTAACAAGTTACAGTTTTAAAAGAGAGCTGTATGTTTTCAATATTTTGTGGGCTGGGAATTTTGACAACATATGGGCATTCTCACAGAATAGCTGTCCCAAAGAGCACACTGAATCACTCATTTACCAGGATTCTTCTCTCACCAAAACAGAAGCAGTTGTTTTGCAACATGCTATTGCTCTGTTCATTTTAACCAAAGGGCTTTACAAGAAGAAATGAAAATCAAGTCAGTATGGAGCAAGCCAATCTGGTGTAGTGGTTAAGGCACCAGGATAGAAACTGGGACATTGTGAGTTCTAGTCCTTCTTTAGGCACAAAGTCATCTGGGCGACCTTGAGCCAGCCACTTCTGCTCAGCCCAAGGAAGTAGGCAAGAGCAAACCACTTCCAAACCATCTTCCAAGAAAACTGCAAGGACTATTCCAGGTAGTTGCCAGAAATCCACACTGACTTGAAAGCACAATAATGAAAATGGAGATTGCCAGATGCCAAGAGAAGAATTATTGGACATATTGATGCCCAGGACTGCTATAATGCAGACTTCAGGTTTAACAATAAGACATAAAAAGGAATCTATTCTACTATGGAGTTATCTTACTATTGCTGACATCTCAGCCAATGCACACTGATCTTGACTTTTACAAACTGATACAACTCATACTATTAATGTAATAATTTATTCAGTTATTTTGGTTCATAATGACACAATGAACTCAGAGGTGGGTTTCAGCAGGTTCTGACCAGTTCTGGAGAACCGGTAGCGGAAATTTTGAGTAGTTTGGAGAACGGGTAGTAAAAATTCTGACTGGCCCCGCCCCCATCTATTCTCTGCCTCCAGAGTCCCAGCTGATCACGACGAAATGGGGATTTTGCCAACAAAGAGACAAAATACCTCATCATACACATCTTGACAGCAGCACGGTTACTGTTTGCGCAAAATTGGAAATCAGATCAACTCCCAACCAAAGACAAACTAATCTCGAAGATAACAGAATGTGCCGAAATGGATAGACTGACACTAGAACTCCAAGATAAAGAAGAAAGTGAATTCTATCTTGTATGGCACCAGTGGTATCAATGGCTAGAAAAGAAAATCAGTACAAATATAGATGAAAGAAAATAGGGTAGAAAAAATAAAACCGGAAATAAATAAATTAAGAGGAGATGCAAGATTATTTCCAATCTAAAACATCCAAATTGACAAAGTATTACTTATATATTAACTTATAAAGCAATATATATTCTGATGATGATCAAAACATATATGTAAAGTTTGGTGTGGGTAGGTTGGTGGTGGGAACTTGTTTGTCTTTGTAATGTCTTTGTAGTTTTTGTATTGTCTTTATATCTCTGTTTAAAACTCAATAAAAAAAAAAGAAAGAAATGGGGATTTTGCAGTAATCTTCCCCTGGAGTGGGGAGGGAATGGAGATTTTACAGTATCCTTCCCCTGCCACGCCCACCAAGGCACACCCACAGAACTGGTAGTAAAAAAAATTGAAATCCACCACTGAATGAACTACACACTAACTGCACAACATGCTAGATTAAAATATGGTTGGTTATTTAGTGTTTGGAATATCATCAAATGCTTTTATTTATGCAGAAATCTGAAAGCTTTCAATGGAATTTTTAATCTGATTAGTTAATTACAGCATTGCATTCTAATAAACTGTGGTTAGTTTAACCATGTTTTACTAAGTAAACCATGTTTGGTTTCACATATACTAAATCACAAGCCACTGATCACAAGCCATAATGGCTGGTTTCACAGAGTATGCTATGCTACATCATTGTTTAATGCAATGTTTGCATTAAAGCAGTCAGCAGCACAACAAAGTTGCATTTCAGAATAGCAATAGCACTTATATACCGCTTCACAATGTTTTTATAGCCTCTCTCTAAGCAGTTTACGGAGTCAGCCTATTGCCCCCAACAATCTGGGTCCTCATTTTACCAACCTGGGAAGGATGGAAGGTTGAGTCAACCTAGAATCATAGCTTTCAAGGCCTATTTTTATTAATTTCAAACCAAAATCCTGCAAATTGAGCAACATCACTGATTTGAAACTGGCCCTATATAGTAGAAACATCCACATGGGAAGCATTATAGCCAGTGGTGGGATTCAAGTAATTTAACAACCGGTTCTCTGCCCTAATGATTTCTTCCAACAACCAGTTTGCCAAACTGCTCAGAAAGTTAACAACCGGTTCTCCCGAAGTGGTGCGAACTGGCTGAATCCCACCATTGATTGTAGCCCTAGAGCCTCTAAAAAAATGCCCCATTAAGAAATCCTGTTAATTGAAAGCTTGAATAAGACCATTACGCACAGTATGTGCTAGTGCTTTACTATTGACATAATTAGCTGCTTAGCACTTCAGCTTCTAATGAAATTCATAATTTCAAAATCACTGACAAGTTTCTACCAGCTACAACTGACTAAGACAGAAGAGCTGATGTGTTAATAGGTGTGACTGTGAATATGAATCACCAACTCACTCCTCAATATTAAAGAACAGCCTGGCTATGAAAGTTGAATAAATAAGGAAAACCCGTGTAATGAAAGTTTCCTATCAGCAGCAGCAACGTTCCTCTTCGGCAGGCCAATCCAGTGGAAGAGAAATATAAAACGAGATAAAAGCACAGCTAAAGCAGCAGCAAAGGAAAAAGTGCACAACTGAAACACAAGCAAAATCATACTAACATTACCCTAAACCCAATTCAAAAGGCTATGACCAAAAGAGCCTCTTGTCTCTTTGTAGAAACATGAAGGGAGCACGAACAATGCCGTTATGTGTGTCATTAAGTTTAGCCACTGACTAACCAAACCTTCCCAGCACTGACTGCCCTGAGTACATACACACCACCCTTATCTTCTTCCTAGACCTTGAAGACCATCCGTTCTATATAATCCATTCTCTAGTACCGATAGTTCAACCAATCCTCTTTCTTCTACCTCCAATTGGACAAGAGAGGGTCACGTGCTTCCGACCAACCCCCCCCCCTCCCCCCTTATCGCCGGTCGCGGCTGGCTCCGGGAAGGGTTAAAAAAAAAAAAACGCGCTCGGGAGTCGGGCGGGACTGAGCGTGAAGCCCAGAGAAAAGGGGCGGAGCGAATGCAAACAAACAAAGACGCTGCGTTTTGCTTTGACCCGCGCGACATCATTGAACGCGCCACGTCGGTAATTTAAAAAAAAAAAAGAGAGAGAGAAGCAGCTGCGCGCGCAAATCGAGAACTTGATGGAATTGTATGCTCGCAGAGGGGGAGCACGGGCGGGCGGGCGCGCGCGCGCGCACGGGCAGGCGGGCTTTCCTCCATCGGGGCGGTGACAAGCGCGTGCATGGGCGGGCGCGCGCGCGGCGGTGGCGCTGCTGCTGCTGCTGCTGCTACTAATATCCGCCTCCCTAAAAGCGAGGGTAGCGGCGCTAAGGGCGACCGGCCTCGGGCAGGGGAGAACCTCGGTTTGTTTTTTGCTCGGCAGCTTTTGAAGTCAACAAACACCCAGACCCCTACCGCGCCCACGGCAACGGGAAGGTAAATGCCGTGCTTCTCTTTCTTCGGGGAAGCCGAGAGCGAGGGAGACGGGCGAGAAAGAAGAGCCTCCCTTAATTTCAAGCCTTTTTTGTGTGTGTGTGTGTATTAAGGCGAGCGAGGCTGCAGCGGCCGCGGGAGCCAGCGTTGTTCGTGCCGCCGTGGAGAGGAGAGGAGAGGAGAGCAGAGGAAGGAAAGGGGAAGCGAGTGCTTCGGGGTTGGGCATTTGTTTTCCATTTTGTGGCATTGCAGTTGGGAACGAACCCGGGGCTGGCGGGGTGGGGGTGAAAAAAATGCCCCCCCTCCCTTCCTCCGGCGGTGGACCTAATAAAAAAGCCCGCAGGCAACGAAAGTACTTTGTTGGTGTAACTAATCCCTTAGAGGAGGTGGGAAGGGGTGGGTGGGTGTATCGTTTCCCTTTCCATTCTTACTCCGTAATGGCGGCGGAACTTTAGGTGGTTCGGGTGCCTTTTCTTTTTATGGATACATTACAGAGGGTTTTGGGGTTGGGTCCTTTTTGGGGGGGGTGGGGAAGGAGAAGGTGGGGGGGAAGCCTTTTGTGTGAGGGGGGGACGGAGGTGTCTTTCATGGCAAGCCGCTTGTTCAGGGGGTTGGGTGGGGGGCTCCGAAGGTATCCGTAGGGCTACGCCACTGGCCATCCCTTTGCTTAATTAAAGGGATTTTTGGGGGGGGGGCAAAGACTGCGAGACACGGGTGTTGCATTGATCTGAGAGTAAGTGGAAATAGTGGGAGTAAAGTGTATTTACCCAAAATAAGAGTTTCAGTGGGAGGAGAAATGTCCTTTTAAATACCTGGGGTTTTTTGGGGGGAGGGTGGTAGTGGGGCAAGCAAAAAGCTTGATTATAGGGAACTAGTCCAGCATAAAAGTGGGAATTGGATTTTTAGCAGACCTCCCACGTCAAATCTCGTTTCCACTTTTAGTGAATTAGGACGTTGTAGCAAATCTGCCTCAGATTTCTTTTCTTTTTTCTTCCTTAAGTATGGACAATAATGCCATGTTACCGTTTTTTTACCATTAGCACAGGGGAGATAATATGAACCCATGCGGTGATTACCCACCTGAGGTGATGGGTAAATTCATTATGAAGTGTCAACAGATCATATATTTGTTGCTCTCCCTATTCCTTTCTGGATTTCATTGAAAAAAATTTCCATATTAAACTGGCTTGATTTAAAGGTCCTGTTAGAATTTTAAAAAAACATGGTTATTTATGCTGGAATTGTCCAAATTATTTTTTATTAATATGTCATAGCTGCCTAGGTTCAAACACCTCTGATCTGGTAGAAAATATTTCTGATTTGTTAATTTGGTAGTGTCTAATTCTTGGAGATCAGATTTGGATAAATACAGTGCTTGAATTGGAAATCCTTGGTTGTGTTACTCTTATTTAAACAAAAAGTAGATCTCTTATCAATCTCAATACAGATTCCTAGGGAACTCCGTTGTTTGCATTCTTTCCTTTTTTGTTCTCTAATAGATAACAAATCTATATAATACCATCTCTTATTTTATGACTAGTAAATTATACACTAAAGAATGTTGTCAAGGGATGCTGGACTTTTTTTTGGAAGTCAAATACAACATTGTATCAGATTATACCTATATATTTCAAGCATGGATATCTGCCATTTATCCTCGGCAGTGAAGACAGATACAAATTATTCCTGCATTTTCTCTGCAGTCTTACCCTTCTTTTGTAGTATTTGAATTCCCTGGTTTTCCAGAGGTTCAGCTGTCTTTCTGGCCAATTTCCTAATTCTGACATGTTTAAAGAATTTGCTTTTGCTGGTTTTAGGGCTATTAATATAGGCCTCAATATTTTTTAGTTCTTACTTTTTTTCCTGACATTCTTTTATGCCATGAGGTAACATTTTCTTTTATTTTGTGCAACTTCTGGTGGGTCCTCCTCATTATAGACACCACAAAATACAGACTTTATCATTATTGTTTGTCTTTTGTATGTGTTGAGGCATGTTAGCTAGTGTTACACAGATGCTTAATGCTTCAGTAAGTTGAGAACACAAAACTGCTAGATAAACGAAAGACTAGGGACTCTATCATTCAGAAAGAAAGAAGGGATCTACTAGATGAGGTTCTAATGTTTCACTGAAGAAAAATATGGAAATAGCCAGTAAATCTGAGATTTGGTATATTGACTTCAATCTTGTTTTGTCAAATGTCTGTTTGGGAAAGCCAGGATATAACAAATTTGTTTGAGCATGTAGAAGACTAATTAATATCTTGGTATATATACATTTTTGCAGTTATATATAACTATAGAATATATAATAATGTGATTTTTCCTTCAGAAATTATTGTTCGGAACTTCAGAGAATGACAGAATTTATATATATATATTTCATGTACTAGAGATTTGTAGTTGAGTGGATTGTTAGCTCAGCCAGTGAATGACAGACATTGCAACCATCATAAATAAGAGTCAGTTGCCAAATATCTAAATTTTGATCATGTGGCCATGAGGATGATGTTGCAACAGTCACAAGTGTGAAAAACAGTCAAGTCACTTTTTTTCAGTACCGTTGTACATTTTGAATAGTCATTAAATGAACTGTCGTAAATTGAAGACTAACGATGTAACATTTTCTTTCATTTATTTTGAAAGAAAATACCACCCCTATCACCCCTATCTTATTCTAGTTGTTCATTCCAAGTGGGTTTATAAACCCATTAATATTGATCTGGTTCAGTGATAAGGTTAAACCAAAATATGGGTGGTTGTGGAATGGGATAATACATAAATACATCTGTAGAAAGAAATTATTTTTTCAGATCACTGAGAATTGGTTTGTACAGCATGCACAAACACAAATCACAGGAACATGGCAAGTTTCTACTTGTGGAACACTTCCCCAGATTTCCAAGTGGTTACCTGGCTAAGTGGCTCAGTGGCTAAGATTCTGAGCTTGTTGATCAGAAATGTTGGCAGTTTGGTAGTTCGAATCCCTAGTATAGTATATCCTGCGTGAGCAGGGGGTTGGACTAGATGACCTCCCTTCCAACTCTGTTACTGTTATTAGCATTATGGAAAACTATTTTTACTTACAATCTTTTTGCGTTTAGCTATAGTTCAGTTATAAGATGTAACAATAACTCATATTGTACTTCAAAATTATTGTACTTATAGGGTAGATTAGTTTAAATGTAATATCCTATTTGAAATTCATGTTTCCTAAAGAATCCTGCATATTAGTTATTAGAAAATTTTGTCATTATAAAATTAGCTTGTTATAAAACAGTCCATATATAGACATTTTAAATTAGAACTTTCAGTTGCAATTATTTAGTTGCAATTATTGAAAATGATCCTCTTAGAAACAAGAAACAGACTGTTATTCATGTTCTCCTGCTCTAACTCCCCCAGCTGGGATATATTTCAGGCTTTTCTTGAGGCTCTCCTCAAGTGTTTTGAGGTTTTTGTTTGCTTAAAGTCATGAGAACAGCAAATCTCATTGCTGTTATCCTGTGAATCCAGGGTGATGAGATACTTTATTCAACATTTAGATTCATTATGTACAAAGTGCCAAGGTAGCCTCTCCCAACATGGTCACTTTCAGATGTTTTGGGACTATGATTCAATTCAGTTTGGGAATTTGGGGAGTTATTTTCCCAATGCATTTTGAGAACACCCAATTGAGAAAGGCAGACCCTTCCTTTCAAGGGACATCCTAAAGAAGTTAAGTCGATATACCTTAGCTTACAGTGTTTGTTGTTGGTGCCCTCAGTTTTATTTTTACATGAATTAGCAATCCTTTTATATGATGCATAGTTCACTGTTAACACCATGTAGAAATAGACAAAATGCTTCAAGGTGAAAATATCTTGGAACCCCCCCCCCCCCCCAAAAAAATAAAAATCTCAATGCAAGTTTCTAAGATAAAACTACTACCATTGTGATTGGACCAAGTGATTCCAATTTTAGGACATTTCCAGTGAAGACAAAATATGACTTCTGGGATTCAGTATTAAGCTTCCTTAGTCTTCCGAAATTTTTCTGTAGATAAAAAGAACTTCAGGGAAATTGTCTAAAATATACAATAAAGTGCCTTTAGATACAAATCAATATATTATTTTAGATGGAATAGTAAGAAAATATTCACTAGGAACATGTCAAGAGTTTTTGCAATTTTCTTCCCAAAACTTGTTTTCTGTAAAACCTTTTCTTTATAAATTAAAAACGTCTTACTGTATAGAAGTTCATTTTTATGGTAGGACTAAGAGATTAATCTGCTTTTTCTATCATTGTGTTATCCTCTGAGTGACTTACTGGCATCTTCCTGTTTCTTCCCCATGTTTTAAAACTAGTAGACTCCACAGGAAATTTATTTTCTGTTATTTTAGTAGAGATAATGTTTGCCACCTCAGCATTCTTGTACAATTTTGTATTATAGTCTGGTGTTAAGGGAAAAGTGCTGAAATCTTACAGGATTACAATGAGAATTTAGTAATTTTAAATGTTATTTGAGGATGGAAGGACAAGAGCATTTCATTATCCAAGATTGCCAATCGCTAACAACCTATGATCTAAAATTCTGAGGAAGTCTCTAGATTTATATTATACCATTTCTAGATTGTTTGTATCCCAAACATGAAGATGTCAAGACTGAGTGATTGCTGGATGGAAACCTGAAAAAAGAATAGGAATAGAATTCTTTATTGGCCAAGTGTGATTGGACACGCAAAGAATTGTCTCCAGTGCATAAGCTCATAGTGTAAATATAAAGAACTAGTGAATAGGACATAATCATAGTTACAATCATTAATCATAAGTTCCAAACAACAACTGATAAATCATAAACCAATAGGAGAAGATAGTAGGAAAGATGAGAAATGAGACAGTGCTGTGGGAAATAAGTGTTCAGCAGAGTAATGGCACGGGCAAAAAATCCTACCTTTATATGTCTAGTTGTTTTGACACGCAATGCACTGTAGCGGTGTCCTGAAGGGAGAAGTTGGAACAGTT